ACCCCGAAAGGCGTCTCCGACAGAAAGTTCAAGCGCTCGATTTGTGCGCATGCTAGTGGGGTCTCGATATGCATAGGTGGTTGAAGTGATCTTACATTCCAGGGACGACAACATGCAGCTAGCAGAAGACCGTGTCCTGGATGATGTTGCTGAGAATGGTGATGGAGATAGTGAAGAAGAATACGCAGATGATGATGATGATGGTGATGGTGATGATGATGATGATGATGATGATGATGATGATGATGATGATGATGATGATGATGATGTGGTGATGATGATGATGCCTTTTGAACCCTAGGTGGGGGTTTCCCGAAATAGGGGTGCCCTTTTTGGCGGCCCCCTTGAAGGGCATTCTGTTCTATTTGGGGTATAAAAGGGGTGCCCCTAAACCCTAAACGCTAAGCCCTAAACCCTAAACCCCAAACCCTACTCCCTAAACCCTAAACCCTAAACCCTTTTTGGGATGTACTCAAAATCTGTCCGCCAGGCCATGCGCTTCATGTTCACCCAGGAGGAGCTGGAACTCTTGGATGGCCATCCCGCCGAAGATCCGGATGAGGCCCGACCTCTAAGTTTGGGGTTTAGGGTTTCGGGTTTCGGGTTTAGGGTTTTGGGGTGTAGGATTTCGGGTTTCGGGTTTGGGGTTTGGGGTTTGGGGTTTGGGGTGTAGGATTTCGGGTTGTAGGATTTCGGGTGGGCCCTTAATATAGCCCCTTACCCTCTTTTTCAGGTGTTCTGATGTATGGGCCCTTGGGCTCTATAGGGTATATAGTTTTTTTTAAAGGTTTTTTTAAAAGGGAGGCCCATACTAAGGGACCACGTAACTACCCTTTAGAGCCCTGTTTCCTGTTTCAATACTGTTAGTGATGTCGCCACGTTAGTGAGGTTGCAGAAGGAAGAGGCGGTTTCGCACCCGAAGCCCTAAACCCTGAACTCCTCAACCTCGCAACCCCGAGGCGTGTTCAGCCACTACAGGGGTCGGAATACGTACTAATAGTATTCCCTCATGGTCCCTTGGTCCCTATATAGTTCTGTTGCAATACACCCCCCCCCCCAGAACCTCTATTCTAATTCTTAAGGTGCCCATATGGAACTAGGACTCAGAGTACGCCCTCATTCCCTCTGCTTTTTCGTGTTTTAAGTTCCCTTAAGAATGTGTGCTTGTGTTGGAACTCGTTGTCTAGAGTCTGGAGCGATCTTTGTGTTGGAGGGGGGGGGGGGGGGGGGGGGAGGGGGGACCACAAAATCAAGATCGTTTTCAGTTCATGGTTTGCAACATTCTTGCAAGGGCAAATCAACAGAATCGATTGTTTGATGAGCGCTGTAGAATCTACTGTAGAAATCATCCGCGATACGAACGGCCTTGATAGGGCTTATAGTACCCCCTAGTCTAATCCCTACTAAGGACTGTTGTATAAGCGTCCTTAGTAGGAACAGCCCAAAGAATCCTCCCTGAACCCTACACCCTAAACCCTAAACCTTAAACCCGAAACCCTAAACCCTAAACCCTAAACCCTAAACCCTAAACCCCAAACCCTAAACCCTAAACCCTAAACCCTAAACCCTAAACCCTAAAGAATCTCCTTTAAAGCCCGAAGAAGGGCAGCCCCTGAATCCTGAGAGGCGTCGGTGGCCGGGCAAGGCGAGCAGCCCGACATCTTGAACTTGGAGCCGGTGAAGGCTCGACACAAGCTAAAGGCTGCCCTAAACCCTAGCCCTAAACCCTAAACCCTAAACCCTAAACCCTAAACCCTAAACCCTAAACCGTAAACCCTAAATCCGAAACCCTAAACCCAAAGCCCCCTGGCTTTGGGGAAGTGGCATGGTCTGAGTTGGACCATTCGACCCGAAGCCTTTCGACCCTGCACCCCCCCCCCCCCCCCCCCCCGGAAACCCTCAATGTTTAGGGTTGAGGGTTTAGGGACCCCTAAAACGCGCAAGCCCTAAACCCTTAAACCCGTGAACCCTTAAAGCCATGAAGCTCTAAACCCCTAAACTCCCCTTAGACTCTTAAAGCCTTAAACTCTTAAACCCGTCAGCCCTTAAAATCCTGAAGCCTTTAGCCCTGAAGCCCTTAAACTCTTAAACCCTCAGCCCCTAAACTGAACTCGTAAACCCTAAACCCTAAACCCTAAACCTAAATCCTAAGCCCGAAGCCCTAAACCCAAAACCCTAAACCCGCAAACCCCTCCACCAAAGTCAGAGCACCATGACCTGGAGGAGTCCAAGGAGGAAGCGGAGGCCTGTGCACTTAAAAACCCTAAACCCTAAACCTTAAACCCTCAATCCTAAACCCTAGACCCTAGACCCTAAACCCTTCTGTGAGAGAGGTGGCTTATCTGGGGCTTAAAGGAACAGGGGTTGGAGGTTTAGGGGATTAAACCCCGAAGCTTAAACCCTAAACCCTATCCTGCCTCAACACCTGCCCCTTCCCCTGGTGGGAGGGGCCAGGGTTGAGGGGTTACGGTTGAAGGACTTTGTGATTGCCCTAAAATCTAAGCCTTCGGAGTATCCGGTTTAGAAGTTTTGGGACCCCCTACAGAAGGACGTGGGGTTCGGGTTTCGGGTCCCAAACAACAGCAACCCTAAGCCCTAAACCCTAAGCCCTAAGCCCTAAACCCTAAACCCTATACCCTAAACCCTAAACCCTGAACCCTAACCCTCTACCTCAAGCCCTAAAACCCCAACCCAACAAGCCCAACCCAACCAGTGGGCAAAGTAGGAAGGGACGAGAAGAAGGTACAGGTTCGGAAAGTTACCCTTAGGGTTTAGGGTTTAGGGTTTAGGGGTTAGGGTGCAGGGTTTAGGGTTTAGGGTTTAGGGTTTAGGGTCGATAGGCCCTACACAGCGCACAGTTTGCCCTTCAAGGGTGGCTCTCCTGCAGAGTTAGCTTTCGGGCCCAGGCGTTTACAGCATGAGCTCTGAGGGTTTGAGCAAGTTTGTTTGTTGGGGGAGAGGGGGTCAGGGTTTAGGGTTTAGGGTTTAGGGTTTAGGGTTTAGGGTTTAGGGTTTAGGGTTTAGGGTTCAGCTGCTTTTTTTGGCGATGGCTTCAAGTTGCCGCGAAGGACAGCAAGGCCGAGATCCACTTCTGAGCCTCGCGTGAATCGCCCGAATTCTTTAAGACTTTGTCGGCGTGCCGCCGGATGTCCCCCTCAGGGTTTAGGGTTTAGGGTTTAGGGTTTAGGGTTTAGGGTTTAGGGTTTGGGGTGATGTCTGGGGGTGGGTGTCCGCGTGAACGAAGCACGTGTCGACAGTTTTTCTAAGACCTTGGATTTGCCAAAGCCTGCCGTGAGTTCAGAAGGAATCTGTTAGGGTTTAGGGTTTAGGGTTTTAGGGTTCAGGGTTTAGGGTGGTCTGCAGGATTTGGGGCTAGACTCCCGAGTCCGTTGTCGACAAAGGTCTTCACATTGGATCGGGAAACATTTTTGCCGGAGGACTGGCCGAACTCCCAGCCATTTTCGTGAAAAAGCCCGAACATTTGAATCGGGACATGAAGTAGGGTTTTTACACTCACCAATGTTAAAAAAGGAACCTAAAAAGCACTCACCAAAAACAGTAGTATAAACCCTGCTTCACATGGTTTTGGCCGAAAGACTTCCCGAAGGGATCGAGTCAACATCGGCGAAATCTTGCTAGTTCGGAGCCGGGCCACACGGCAGGTGACTGTCTTTCGTCAGAGTTCAGGGTGCGCAGACCAACCACACCTGGACCCGAGATTTCTTCACGCGGGATGCCGTGTAGCTCGTGGTTCCGGTACCAGCCGAAAGAGAGCAGCAGCTTGGCGTTGTTGGCTTTCCATCTCGGCAAGACGCACAGGGGTCTACTAGCTAGGACCCGTTCGGCGTCATACCTTGGCGTGGCATCCTCATACCGCGAGTGAAAAATTTGGTCCCATGGAAGCCGAGATTGGGTGGCCTGGGGGGCTTCTCCGAAGGGTACCGTGAACCCTAGCCCTAAACCCTGAAACCCTTGGGGGGTGGATGGTCTCTCTGAGGCCTGGGAGGTTGTTGGGTTTTAGGGTTTTAGGGTTTAGGGTTTAGGGTTTAGGGTTCAGGGTTTAGGGTTTGTCCACTGCGTTTCTCTCCTGACCAGAAGTAGGGCTTGAGTTTCTACGAGGCTCATTAGGGACGTTGTGCCAGTTGGAGTGCCCGACTCCATGCGCCCGATATGCCCTCATGATGGTTATTTGTCCAATGCCCAAACCTGTAGCCCCGCTTTTCAGCACCCTAAATCCTAAACCCTAAACCCTAAACCCTAAACCCTAAACCCCAAATCCTAAACCCTAAGCCCTAAACCCTAAACCCTAAGCCCGAAACCCGAAATCCTAAACCCTAAACCCGAAACTTTAAACCCTGCTCGCTAGTTGAAGCTTCAGTTGGCCTGGTTTCAGACTGGCTTCGGAGCTGCTGGGGCTTCAGGGATCATCTGATGATCCCCCTTGTACTATCGACAGTCCTTATACGGGTTTAGGGTTTAGGGTTTAGGGTTTAGAATTCTAGTACCCCCCCCCATTACCATCCCTATTAAGGGCTGTTAGTACAAAGGGGGCACACCTCAAAAAATCAGCTCAAAGTGCTCCCTCGGGCCCTTCTTCCGTTCCGGCTCACAGAATGTGCGGTTTAGGGATGTGTAGGGTGCTAGGGTTCTAGGGTTGTAGGGTTCCAGGGCTTGGGGTTTAGTCTTTTAGGTTTCAGGGTTTAAGGGTTTCAGGGTTTTAGGGTTTCAGCTGAAGAAGCTTCAGCCGCCTGATACTCCAGGGTTTAGGGTTCGGGGTTTGTGGTTTAGGGTTTAGGGTTTAGGACCATCAGCCGCGAGCTGAACGTGCCCCAAATCGCCCGAGACCCCCAGACCCTCAGACCCACCAGACCGAAAACTCTCATAGCAAACTCCAAACCCTAAACCCCAAACCCCAAACCCTAAACCCTAAACCCCAAACCCTAAACTCTAATTTCCAAGTCTACGTCCCCTGAGCTGATGTGCCGGCTTAATCTCATCAGATGGAGGCAGGGCGGAGAGTGTAGCTTGAACCCAGAAAGTTCATGTCGCTTACCCTAGGAGCCATCTCTGTTATACCCCTCCTCCCACCTCGCCCCTCCCGCCTCCCCAAACATATAGCAAAACGGTTTTAGGGTTTGGGGTCTAGGGTTTAGGGTGCATCTAACCTGAACCTACCCCCCCTCCCTCCCCCCAACCCCCACCAAGCCTCCAAATGCGCCCCAAATGGCTTGGAAGACTGTTTTGGCCTTCTGCTCGTGTAGCGTCCTTTGTCCACTCCTACACCCCTAAAACTCCACACCCCTTAAACCCCAAACACTAAACCCTGAACCCTATGCCTTAAACCCCTAAACCCCTAAACCAAACCCCAAAGCCCTTCAACAAAGAAGGGCTTAGGGTTTGTTTAGGGTCTCGGGTCTCGAGTTTGGGCTGATTTAGGGTTTCGGTTCTAGGGGGTGTTTAGGGGTCAAGGGACTAAAGGAGGGACCCTTAAAAAGGGACCTTAGGGGTTATTTGGGGGTTAGTTAGGGGCCACTTAGGCATATCGGGACTATATAGGGTGTATATCGGGGTTACATAAAGGAATAAGATTCAGGGTCCCTTCTACTAACCCTAAACCCTAAACCCTCAACCCTCAACCCTCAACCCTCAACCCTAAACCCTAAACCCTAAACCCTCAACCCTCAAGCCTCAAGCCTCAACCCTAAACCCTAATAAGGTGTATATCGGGGTTACATAAAGGAATAAGATTCAGGGTCCCTTCTACTAACCCTAAACCCTCAACCCTCAACCCTCAACCCTAAACCCTAAACCCTCAACCCTCAAGCCTCAAGCCTCAACCCTAAACCCTAAACCCTAAACCCTAAACCCTAAACCCTAAACCCTAAACCCTCCTTATGCCCCTGAAAAGGGGTCTAGATCTGCCAGGAGCGTGCACTGAAGCGGCAGCGGAGCCTGGCCGACGAGCCCACCGAGCTGAACAGGAGCCTTGTAAGGTCTTGTAGGTTTAGGGTTTAGGGTTTAGGGTTTAGGTTTTAGGCCTGAACCCTAAACCCGGTAGGGCCTTGGGACTTTTTGTTTTTTAACACACGTTTTTCCCTTGTTGGAGCATCATAGATAGAGGAATATTGTCCAAAGGGTTTAAGGGGCCAACCTAGTTGTACTACCAAAAGCCCTAAGCTGTACACCCAAAGCCTCAAACCGAAATCCTGAACCAAACACCGGCACCACTCCCCAGACCCTGCACGGTTTAGGGTTTTGGGTTTGGGGTTTAGGGTCTAGGGTTTGGGGTTCAGCGTGGCAGATCTTGCGCAAACCGTAAACTCGAAACCCTCAGCCGCTGATGTCTTCCCTACTTTCCCGGCTGTTGTTGATGTCGGAAACGGGGATGCCAGTTTTGGCTTCAGGGTTTTGAGGTTGGGTGAGGCCTTGAATCCTAAACCCTAAACCCTAAGCCCTAAGCCCTAAGCCCTAAGCCCTAAGCCCTAAGCCCTAAGCCCTAAGCCCTAAGCCCTAAGCCCTAAGCCAAGCCCTGAGCCCTAAGCCCTAAGCCCTAAGCCCTAAGCCCTAAACCCTAAACCCTAAACCCTAAACCCTGAACCCTGAGCCCCTCAGTCCCCCAACCCAAACCCCAATTCGAGTTTAGGGTGTAGGGTTTAGGGTTTAGGGCCAGTTTAGGGTTTAGGGTTTAGTTAGGGTTTAGGGTTTAGGGGTTTCGGGGTCCCTTGCGACCCTTCCGAACCGCGAACCTCTCCCCACGCTTGAAGAGCCCCGGCTGCTGCGCGCCAGGCCCACACAGTTGACCCCTGAGCAGCAGGCCAGGGGCGAAGTGTGGAGGGTTTAGGGTTTAGGGTTTAGGGTTTCGAAAATTTCCTGGTTGGTGTTCGGCTTGAGAGTTAAGAGGTTTAGGGTTTAGGGTTTAGGGTTTCGGGTTTAGGGTTTAGGTTTCAGGGTTTGCTGCTACACGAAGGAGAGCATCCCCCGACTCTGGAGCCTAAACCCGAACAAAACCTGGATAGAGGTGGAGGTCGGTTGGTTTGGGGTTTAGGGTTTAGGGTTTAGGGTTTAGGGTTTAGGGTTTAGGGTTTAGGGTTTAGGGTTTAGGGTTTAGGGTTTAGGGTTTAGGGTTTCGAGGCGCCGGCTGCTTTCTCCGTGGAAGCTGGGTAGGGTCGAGAGCCCGGTGTTTGAAAAAGGTTTGGTTCCTCGGAGAGCCGCTTGGTGGGGTTCGGTTTTCGGGTGTTGCTTTCGAGGGCTTCGGTTTCAGGCTCGCGAGTTACACCCTAAGCCCTAAACCCTATATCCTCACACCCTAGATTCAGGGGGTCGGGGGGTTTCGAGCTTAGGGATCCAGCGGCCCTGAACCCCAAACCCTAAAGGGTCGAAGCCCTGCAGCATGTGGCCAGAAACCCCTAAACCCTAAGCCCTCAGCCCTCAGCCCTCAGCCCTCAGCCCTAAGCCCTAAGCCCTAAGCCCTAAGCCCTAAACCCTAACCCCTAAGCCCTAAACCCGAAACTCTAAACCCTAAACGTGTCCCCCCCTCTTTCAGCCCCCCCCCCCCCCCCCCCCCCCCCCCCAAATCCACCTCGAGCGCTCGTCTGGCGCAGCTCCTCCTCGAGAAGAAGCGGCGCCAGGCCTTAGAGCGGAGGCTGCAGCGTCCCTTGGCGGGGAGGAGCCCGAAGCCCTAAGCCCTAAGCCCTACGCCCTAAGCCCTAAGCCCTCAGCGCCCTAAGCCCTAAGCCCTCAGCCCTAAGCCCTAAGCCCGAAGCCCTAAGCCCTAAGCCCTAAGCCCCAAAGCTACGGCCCCACAAGTTTGAATCAATGGTAGGGCTCCAGGATGTATCAGGTAGGCTTTTCGGGTTTAGGATTCGTTGATTCAAGGGGCAGGGTTAGGGGCTTTTGGGGTTGAGGGTTCTAGGGTCTTAGGGTTTTAGGGGTATCGGTCTCGGGGCCCTCAGCCCTAAGCCCTAAGCCCTAAACCCCAAACCCGAAACCCCAAACCTTAAACGCCAAACCCTAAATAAACCCTTGGGGTTTCCGGGTTTGACAGTTTGTTTTGCTTGCCTGAACTAGGGTTTATATAGGGTTTAGGGTTTATGGGTTTAGGGTTTCGGGTTTCGGGTTTCGGGTTTAGGGTTTACCCTGAGCCCTAAGTTCCAAACCCCAAGTAAGTTGGAAACATTAAGCCTTCAGTCCTTAACCCACAAGCCCTACAGGCCGGCCCTGGAACCCTCAACCCTAAACTCCCCTAAACCCTAAACTCCCCTAAACCCTAAACCCTAAACCCCAAACCCTAAACCCTAAACCCTAAACCCTAAACCCTAAACCCTAAACCCCAAACCCTAGACCCTAAACCCTAAACCCTAAACCCTAAACCCTAAACCCTAAACCCTAAACCCTAAACCCTAAACCCTAAACCCTAAACCCTAAACCCTAAACCCTAAACCCCGAGGCCAGGCCACTCCGAGCCAGGCTCGGGACGCGCCTTGCCCCCTGCACGTGGCGACGGCTCCTTTGGAGGGCCCGACAAGCGGGGTGCCTCAAGGAGTTCGGGGTCTGGGGCCTAAGCCGAAACCCCTAAACCCCCCAAGCCCTACAGCCCCTGAATTTCTAAACCGAAACCTGAGCACCCCAAGGGGGGCCTTTAAGGTTGAGGGTCTCTTAGGGTTCCAGACTTTCGGGGGGGTTTTGGTGGTTTTACGGGGTTTAGGCTTGTCAGAGCCTGAGGGAGTGTTTTGTTTCAGGATTTTCGGGTTTGAGATTCATGGCTTAGAGTGTGAGGGTTTCTGGATTGAGGGCTGCAGCTGGTGCTTCAGGAGTTAGGATTTAGGGTTGAGGGAATAGGTTCAAGTTCAGAACGCAAGAGTTTGAGACTTCAAGGGTTAAGTTTAAGTCTGATGTTTTGACACGCGAAGTTCCTCTTCCTACATCTTGAGGGTGCTCTAAGCTTGAGGAAAAGCCCAGGGCACCCCATCCCTTTTGCCGGCTGCAGGGACTGTTGTTGTTATCCTTGGCTCAAGTTTTGAAGCAAAAAAAGTGTTTGAGAGGGTAGGGCTATTCTGTGCAGCACGAGCGACTAGTAGATTGATAATACTTTGCCTCCTTTCACGAGGTGTGGTCAGGACCTTTGGCTTTAGGCAGGTGAAATTTCGACTTTCGCTTGGCTTTAGTGTAGTGGAGAAGGCTGTGTGCAATCTTGGCATTTCTGCGGCAGAGAGGCTAGAATCATGGGTGTTTTCTTCTCCGCAGTCGACGATGATTACGACTACGACTATGGTGAGGATGATGGTTATGACGACGACCTGTATGACGATGATTTCCTTGACGACGACTATGACGACGACTATGACGACTACTATGACGAGGACTACTACGACGATGGCTGCTACTAAGATGCCGACGATCATTGAAACTAGAAGAAGTACCTGCGACCGGGTTGAGAATTGAAATTCAGCTCTGCCAAGAACGAGGCAATCAATCACGACATGGTGAAATCACTGGCTCGGCCGGTTGACGATAACATTGCTGCACTGGGGGTGCTTAAGGTGGAGTGGTGGATCCCTACAAAGAGCGTATGTACGGCAGTAGCTGTTGCGCTTCTCCGAGCTGGCCGGGGCGCTCACAGACTGAGAGATGAAAAGAAAGTCGGCGGTCCGAAGCCCCAAGACCGAGGGTTTAGGGTTTAGGGTTTGGGGTTTAGGGTTTAGGGTTTAGGGTTTAGGGAGCCAAAATCCCAAAGCTTACACACCCACAGACGCTAAGCTGAAATACCCCTTACACTGAGAACCCTAAAATCCCAAGCCCCTAAACGAAAAACTCTGAACCCCAATGCCCTGAATCCTAAGTGCCAGATTGTTGGGGGTTCTTGAAGGTCATGGCTCGGGATGTTTCCCTCTTCTACGAACAGTCCTGTTCAAGGATTATCATGGGGGGTACCCTAAACCCTAAACCCTAAACCCTAAACCCTAAACCCTAAACCCTAAACCCTAAACCCTAAACCCTAAACCCTAAACCCTAAACCCTAAACCCTAAACCCTGAACCCTCAAGCCCTATTCAGGACTGTTACTAGAAGGTGGGGAACATTCCAAGTCGTAGCAGGTGTGCTGAGGGACTGGGGAGTTGAGGGTTCTTGTTTTTGGGGGTTTCGGGTTTAGGGTTTAGGGTTTAGGGTTCAGGGTTCAGGGTTTAGGGTTTAGGGTTTTGAGGTTTTTCTTCGGGTCCTCACTCGTTCAGCCCTGATCTCCTCTAACCCCCTCCTCCTCCTGGGCTTTTAGGGTTTTTCCCCGAAACCCCTCAAAGCCCTGAAGTCCTGCGTCCAAGAAGCCTCAACCCCAAACCCTAAACCCTAAACCCTAAACCCTAAACCCTAAACCCTAAACCCTAAACCCTAAACCCTAAACCCGAAACCCCAAACCCTAAACCCTAAACCCCTCGCGCTTGCGGGGATTCTTTTTCGGACCTGCCCAGGCCCCGGGGGCGCCAAGGTGGCCCTCTCGGAGGAGCAGCTGGAGCGCATCCGGCAGAGCCGGGAGGCCGGGCTGAGGGTTTAGGGTTTAGGGTTTGGGGTTTGGGGTTTGGGGTTTGGGGTTTGGGGTTTGGGGTTTGGGGTTTGGGGTTTGGGGTTTAGGGTTTAGGGTTTGGGGTTTGGGGTTTGGGTTTTGGGGTCTGGGGTCTGGGGTTCGGGGTTTGGGGTTCAGGATGTTGGGGGTTAGGTTTAGGGTTTAGGGGATTTTGGTCTGGGGGGGGGGGGGGGGGGGGGGGGGGCTCTTTGATGCCTGGGGTTGTGGCGGGTTCTTTTTTGATCTGTCCTGGTTCCCCATCCAATTTTCTAAATCTTTGGAGGGTAGTGCCCTCCCTAGACCCTAAACCCTAGAACTTAGACCCAAAACCCAAAACCCAAAACCCCTAAACCCAAAACCCTAAACCCTAAACCCTAAACCCTAAACCCTAAACCCTAAACCCTGAACCCTGAACCCTAAACCCTAAACCCTAAACCTTAAACCCTAAACCCTAAACCCTAAACCCTAAACCCTAAACCCTAAACCCTAAACCCTAAACCCTACACCCTAAACCCTAAACCCTAAACCCTAAATCGGTACGGGTGGGTCGTTAAAAGAAGCCCCTCCAGGCGGCTCTGACACGAAAGCGCCTAGCTGCAGGAAGCGCCCCACGTTCGGAGGAGGCCGGCGGAGGGGGGGGGGGGGTTTAGTGTTTAAGGTTTAGGGTTTTAGGGTTTAGGGTTTAGGGTTTTAGGGTTCAGGGTTTAGGGTTTAGGGTGTATGGGGTTGAGAGCTTAAGGGTTGGGGTGTGCTTGCTCAATTCAAGGTGTAAAGGGAAAACATTGAGACCGAAGTCTTTAATATTTAGGTCATACCCCGGCGCTTGTAAGTGGGCACACGAGCCAGGTCTAGGGTCTCGAGGGCTTGTAGCTTGTGAGTAGGGACCCTTAACCCCTAAACCCTAAACCCCTAAACCCCTAAACCCTGAAACCCCTAAACCCTACACCCTAAACCCTAAACCCTAAACGCAAAACCCAAAACCCAAAACCCAAAACCCAAAACCCAAAACCCAAAACCCAAAACCCAAAACCCTAAACCCTAAACCCGAAACGCTAAACCCTAAACCCCTAAACCCTAAACCCTAAACCCCTAAACCCTAAACCCTAAACCCCTAAACCCTAGTTAAACACCTAAGCCCTGAACGTCCCTCAACCTGGGATGCCTTAACCGCCAGGTGTGTGTCGAGGCTGCTTCGGCCGGCCATCAAGAAGAGGCGGGTTTCGGGTTTAGGGCTTAGGGCTTAGGGTTGAGGAGGTAGGCTCAGGGTTGCAAGGGGTTTTGGGGTTGAAGGTTTTAGGGCTGTAGGCTTGAGGAGTTGTCGGGATTGGGATTGTTCAGGGTTGCTTAGCGCTGTTCAGGGTTGCTTAGGGCTGTTGAGGGTTTAGGGTTCAGGGTTGGTTACGCCGGCGACGCACTCGCAGTCCAAGCGAGTGCTTGCGCTTCTCGTTCGAGTGGTCTCGTGTGCCGGGCAAGGGAACCTTATTAGGGTCAGGGTGCTTAGGCTTGCTGCCTTGTTCAGGGTTGTTTAGGCTTTTTAAGGCTTGTTTAGGCTTGTAGGTTGCTCAGGCTCCTAGGTAAAGACTTCAAGCGAAGAGCCTTGGCAATCTTCCTCTGAGTATATGAGGCATGGGATCAAGAAAGGTCTGCCGCGCTCCTTGTGTTTGCTGGTGGTGCCTGGGCCGTGTGTGCGTGCGGGACGGCCCTTGAATGTCGGGTCACTTGTTTATGAGTAGCTCTAGCTCTAAATTCCGGCTTCCCCTGCGTAGTACCCTAATGAGGGGTCATAGGGGGAAGAGCTGCGGATCTGAGAAATTGGCTGTCTTGGTTTATGCAACGCCACTCAGCCGGAGTGTAGCTTCCTCTTGCTGGGTGGTGGGGCCAGGTGAAGCAAGTATCGCCGGATGGGGGGGCCCTAGGCCAGAAATCCCCAAGCCATGAACGCCTAATAGCTTAAACCCTCAGGCACCAAAACCCGCCCCAAACCTAGGATCTCCCCCACAAAAAACAATCCGCAACGTTTCTGGTTTGACAATGTTTTTGACACTGGGCTTGGCTCCAGTTAATCCAACATGAGCAAGTTTCGGGTCAGTCAAAAGGACTACCAGTACCACACAAGAATCACCCATCTACGTTATATTTTCTCATGGTGAGCTGGGTCACCTTCATATTATCATTCGTCCAGGTTTTGCAGGAGTGTACCAGGGTCCACCGCCGACGGATGGTGAGCTGGACTGGGTGATTTTGCAGATCCTCACGTGTATCGAGAACCTTCTCCTGGACATGCCACCTCTTCGCAAAAGAGCGAGGGTTGAGCGCCGAAGGAGCTGTTGCGAAACTGGGATGCACGCGTGCTCGACCCCTTCCGCGGAACCGCACATCACGAACATCCGCTCGGTGTGTGCTGGTGGGAGGTGGACCACGGCATCGGTTCATGCAGAAAGAGCTGCAACCACCTGCACTTCGGCGACCATGGCTACCCAAAGCATGGCGGCTTGAGCCTCTTTGAGGCACAGCAGTCAGAAGAGGAGGGCATGATCTCCGAAGACTTCCGTTTCGAAGCGATCCACTTCCAGGGGGATGACAGCCAGCTGTCCGAAGAAGTCCAGGAGATTGAGATTGACACTGCATCGCGCGATAGCTACGGCAATGGCTGGACGAAGGCTGGCTGGCAGCGGCGGAAGTTCAAGGAGTATGGCTTCGGGGACTTTCGGATTGAGGGGCGCGTCTTCAAGCAGCGCATAGGGTTTAGTTTTTATGTTTTAGGGTTTAGGGTTTAGGGTTTAGGGTTTAGGGTTTAGGGGTACTTCACAGCCGAGGATCTCTTCAAGTGCATCGCACAAGTTGGTGGGGGTGGGGGGCATGGGCGGCGACCATGTGTACTTCGAGGGTTTGACCCTGAGTGGACAGGAGTACTATCTGAGTTGTGGGGTTTTGGGGGTTTAGAGGTTTAGGGGTTTAGGGGTTTAGGGGTTTAGGGGTTTGTGGCATGGACCTTTACGTATTATTTGGCGATCCCTTTCGTTTCTTATTTAAACAATGACTTTGGAAGTATCAGATATAGAGTATGATTTAATGTTTGTTGTTCCAAGTTTCAAGTTTCAAGCAACTCTTTGCAAAAGGGCTTGGGGTTTAGGATTTACGGTAGCCCACGTACCATATGATAAACATCTCGGCGCCCAGACCGGAACCATCAAGAATAGGTCAGTCATTTCTCTTTCGTCCTTGTTTCTCTAGCGTGTTCCGTGAAGACACAAAGAAAGGAAGTGTGATGACAAAGGAATATACGTGGAGATGGACATGTCGAATTCTTCATAGTCGTGGCTTTCCCTCTCTGCCTTCCTTTGTTTGACCCTTCTTCTCTATTCTTTTTGCCTTCATCTTTGACCAGCACAATCGAAAGGGAAAGGGAACATGCCACTTCCTCTCGATGTGGTTCTCTCTCTCCTTTCCTTCCCTCTTGCGATGTATCTCTTGTCCTCCCTCTCTCTCTCTCTCTCTCTCTCTCTCTCTCGCTCTGCTCTCTCTGCCATCTCTTGCTCTCTCATCCCTCCCCTCTCCTATATTGTCTCCTCCCCTCTTTTCCATTTCTGCAAAGAGTAAGGAACAGCATAGAACAGAAAGGAAGAGATAAGATGGAGGAAGACGGCGGAATGGTGAACTCCTCCTGCGCTCGGCTCCCTCGCTTTCTCTTCCTTTGCCGTTCTTCCTCTTCTCTTCTCCCTGTTCTCTTCATGAGAAAGGAATGAACCGAACGGAGATCTCAGAGAAAGCAAGAGGCCCTCGCTCTCATCATCTTTGCTTCCTCGTCTTCATTGCTCGCTTCATCTCTCTCTCTCTCTCTCTCTCCCTCTGTCACTCTCTCTCTCTCTCTATCTCTCTTCCTCCCTCTCTACTTCTGCAACATCCCTTTTCCGTTTCTCTTTCCCGCTTCTTACCTTTGACTTGACGTTTATCTTTCTCCCACTCTTCCTCTCCCTTCTCTTCCCCTCCCTTTTCTCCCTCTTCCCTTTCTCAGTCAGAAGGACGATGCACAAGGAAGAAGGGAATAAGGGAAAAGACAAGAGAAAGAGAGAGCGAATCCGATAATGGCAGAAGGAGAACAAGGGCAAGAAAGAAAGACCGAAAGAAAAAGAGAAAGAAAGAGAGAAAGTTAGAGAAAGTAAGAGAGAGAGAGAGAGAGAGAGAGAGAGAGAGAGAGAGAGAGAGAGAAAAAAACAAAAAAAGAGAGAGGGGAGGGTGGGATGAAAAGAGGAGGAGATGAAGATTGCAGCAGGGCCTTGTCCTCCGCCTCTGTTCATCCTTGTTCTTCCCTCCTGTCTCTTGGTGAAAACCCAAAACGAGCTTGCGTGGGAAGACAAAGGAGAAGAGGATTGGTAGCCGCGAGATTCGGAGGAGGAGTTCTCCTCTTCAATCACCCTCTGTCCTTCCTTTCAGCTCTCATTCATCCTCCTTGCTTTGCAATCTTTTGCGCTATCATCCCTCCCCTCTCCTCTTTCCTTCCTCCCCTCCTTTCCATTTCTGCAAAGAGTGAGGAATAACAGAGAACAGAAAGGAAGAGACAAGACGGAGGAAGACGGTGGGGAGAGGAAGGGTGAACTCCTCCTTCGCCCGGCTCTCTCGCTTTTTCTTCCCTTGCCTTCTTCATCTTCTTTTCTCCCTGTTCTCTGCGTAAGAAAGGAATGAAAGGAGCGGAGAGCTCAGGGCAAGCAAGAGGCCTCGCTCTCATCATCTTTTCTTTTCTTGTCTTCGTTGCTCTCTTCATCCCTCTCTCTCTCCCTCTCTCCCTCCCTCCCTCCCTCTCTACTTCTGGAAGCAGACAAGGGAGTAAGGGAAAAGACAAGAGAAAAAGAAGCGAATCCGAGAACGGTAGAAGGAGAACAAGAGCCAGGGAAAGAGAGACAGAAAGAAAGGGAGCAAGTAAAAGAGAAAGAGAAAAGGGAAAAGAGAATAGGGAGAGAGAGAGAGAGAGAGAGAGAGAGAGAGAGAGAGAGAGAGAGAGACAGAGAGAGAGGGAGGGGGGAGGGGATGAAAAAGCAGCAGGGCCTTGTCCTCCTCCTCTGTTCATTCCTCGCTCTTCTCTCACGTTTCATAAGTGATAAACCAAGACGAGCTGCGTTGGAAGAAAAAGGAGAAGAGGACTGGTAGCCGCGAGATTCGGAGGAAGAGTTCTCCTATTCACTCGCCTTCGGTCCTTCCTCTCACCTCTCTGCCACTCTCCTTCTTTCATATTCTTTCCTTTCTGGTGAAGAGCTAAGGCGAAGAAGGAACGCAGAAAAATAGAAACAGATCCCGGAAAGGTGAGAACAATACAAAGAACTGATAGAAAGAAGAGAGAGAGGGAAAGTTTCAAGCCCAGCGGAAGAAGAAGAGAAAGAGAGACAGACAGAGAGATAGAGAGAGAGAGAGAGAGAGAGAGAGAGACCCTCCCTCCCAGCTCGCCATGAGACATTGCCTCTCCTCCCCTCCCCTCGCCTCTTCCTTTCCTCACAAATTGGTCCTCCGAACCCGTTGGGCGCTTCCGGGTGAGTTGAGGCGACGGGCAAACTCCTCCTCACTCTGCCGCTCCTTTGTTTGTCACGCCCCCTCTCCTCTTCCCTTCCTCCCCTCCTCTCAACAACATTCTTCGAAGAATAAGGAAAGAACAGAACGAGAGGGACAAGAGAAGATGGAGGAAGACGGCGGGCAGAAGAAAGTTTGTTTTGCTCCTTCGCTCGACTCTCTCTTGCTTTCCCTTCTCTTGCCATATTCTTCTCTTCTTCTTTTTGCATAAGAAAGGAGAACTGCAAGGAACAGAGAGCTCAGGGCAAGCAAGAGGCCCGCTCTCTCATCATCTCCTCCTTTCTCGTCTTTGTTGTTTCTCTCCATCTCTTCTTCTTCCGAGCATATGATCCCCGAAGGGACCGCCCCTGAGGGGCATGCGTTTAGAACTTTCCCCCACCCCTGGTATGTTGCGGGGGTGACGCTGCAAACGGAAAAGCCAACATTGGGCTACGGGTGTGTACAGAACCACGAGCGAGGCTTTTTCTCATCCCGTTTTGTGTCTCAGCCTCCAGGCCTCCCGGGAGCCTCCCGAATGTCGGGGCCTTCAAGGCTTGTTGAATGTCCTGGGGCAAGAGCTTCCAGCAGCACCCATTGCCTCTCCTCCCCTCCCCTCCTCCTCTCGCCTCTTCCTTTCCTTACAGTGAGAGACAGCAAGACATTGAGAAAAGAGAT